GATATTAACTTGATCGACAAAACGCGCATGTGCAAGCGGCACTACTTGTGAGTATGCGCTTAATGCAGAGATATTAAAAACGAATCATAAAAAAACTTGCCTCAGTGATGCACCCGGTCTCCACTCCTCCACCTATCAATCTGTCTAACGTAGACGATCCTGTCCGAATTTGTACCACCTCGCTGCGTCGCTCGTGTACCTCATAAGCAGTAGTGAAACCCATTGGCACTAATTTCATTGCTTCGTGCTTGAAATGGTTTACTTGACAATTTAAGGCCCGTTCAACAAGGGATTATAAATAATCAACATTATAACAATGGTGAATACAAGACCGTGGAAGATTTGCAGGAGCTAGTCGGTCACGCTGACGTTCTTTGGCTTTGCAAAGCCATATAGCAAGCACGTTTGTATTTGCTCATATTTTGCATTGGCTACGATTTTATTGTGCACACATCGAAAAGCTATTGAGTTCCTAACAATATTCTTTTATTTGTTATATAACTCCCCAGTTCCTGCCATGTTATACTGAAACATTAAGCGCTTTTTCTGATTCTGTTGCAGGGAGATTAAGGTCAGAAAAATAAAGGGAAGACCAACATTTGAAGAAGTGAGTTGAAAAACCAGCAAAGATATCAAATACAATGAAGAAACCAGCAAAAAGGTTAGAAAGCTAAAGATACGGGTCATATTGTGCCCTGAACAGCACTGAATTTTAGAGGGTCGACAAAATAACAACCAAATAGATAGTAAACATAATAACCCAGAAATACCTACTTGAAGCTTATCAGCTTTCTGCTCACTTATCCCCTTCACAGCTGTGATTTCACTTCTCATTGCATGAGCTATTCGTTCCACGGTGTTAAATCCAGCTTCTTTTAGTTTTTTAATATCTCCTGAGCTGATTCCGGATTGCTAGAAAATATTACACATGATGAACAGGAAATAATTATAAAATAGTGAAGAAACAAAAATAACAGCAGTGATGAAATTATTCGAGGAAAAAGAAGATATAGCGAAGTAGAAACCTACTTCAAGTTTTTCTATAAGAATGAAAGGTGTCTGTTCTTCTTCTTGTTGATCATTCGAAACTTCCTCAAAAACCGTTTGCTCAATCTCTTGCTGTCGAGTGCTTGATCTTGACAGCTGCGCTGCCATTGTATTTCACAAGAACCTAAGCATACGTTATCAGCAAACGTAAAAATGACCATCAAATTGTTATGTCGTAGGTGTTCGAGCGGTCTCTCAACAGAGTGAGGG